ATTGAGGAGTGATTCTAGCAATTTGTGATGCTTTTCAAAAGCGTGCGTGGCTTATTAGCCGAGCTGCCAATTGCCCCTAGAAAATTTGATAATTAACCCTTTAAATCTACTCTTTATTTGTGTCAATTATTTATTTTATTCTTGTATTTTTATTTTTTTAATTCCTTCAATTAGTCCCTGTGTTATTTGGATATATTTAATTACCCAATATCCAACTTTTATTGAATCTTATCTATTAAATCTTAATATTAATATCGATATATCAATTTATTTTGCTAAGATAATTTATCTGGTAATATAGACAAAAACGAATATAAATGATTAAATCTCAATGTTAACTATGCATGCTAGTTATGTGAGAGTTAAATATTTTTTTATCATGAGATTATTTTCATATTCATATGGAGGAGTATATCACTACATAAGTTATCTTGGAAAAATAAATAAAATATTTCTAAGACTAAACTATGTGTTTTTCTAAGACAATTTATTTGGTAATACGAATATAAAAAGTCATATTATAAACAAATAATATTTAATAATATCATATTTGCATGGATAGTAAAATTGCGATTTATATAAGTCATTTATTTTATTAATTTAAAAAATCTAGAAATTACAAAATTTAAAAAAATGATTTAAAAAACTCAAAAATTAATTGATAAAAAAAAATGAATAATTAACATATTTGAACAAACAGCCTTAAAAGGACAGCATACAAGTATCGGGCCACAGGCCTGAATACAGATGGATGGGTAATAAACGTATTCCGAGATGAGCAGTAGCAAACCCAAAAACAAATCAGCTCAGCCTGAGAGAGAGAGAGAGAGAGGGAAAACCCAACTCACCGATTTTTTTAAAATAATTTTTATTTTTTTAAGTCCTTCAATTAGTCCCTGTGTTATTTGGATATATTTAATTACCCAATATCCAACTTTTATTGAATCTTATCTATTAAATCTTAATATTAATATCGATATATCAATTTATTTTGCTAAGATAATTTATCTGGTAATATAGACAAAAACGAATATAAATGATTAAATCTCAATGTTAACTATGCATGCTAGTTATGTGAGAGTTAAATATTTTTTTATCATGAGATTATTTTCATATTCATATGGAGGAGTATATCACTACATAAGTTATCTTGGAAAAATAAATAAAATATTTCTAAGACTAAACTATGTGTTTTTCTAAGACAATTTATCTGGTAGTACGAGTATAAAAAGTCATATCATAGACAAATAATATTTAATAATATCATATTTGCATGGATAGTAAAATTTCGATTTAGATAAGTCATTTATTTTATTAATTTAAAAAATATAGAAATTAAAAAATTTAATAAAATGATTTTAAAAACTCAAAAATTAATTGATCAAAATAAAAAAAAAATGAATAATTAACATTTTTGAACAAACAGCCTTAAAAGGACAGCGTACAAGTATCGGGCCACAGGCCTGAATACAGATGGATGGGTAATAGTCGTATTCCGAGATGAGCCGTGGCAAACCCAAAAACAAATCAGCCCAGCCTGAAAGAGAGAGAGGGACAACCCAACTCACGGCGCACAATGCCCTGGGCTGAGCTCCAAATCAGCCACCAAAGAAACGTAGACTTCTCTGTTCTCTCTGTTGGAACAGGAAGAAACAAAAATGCGGACCCAGACAGTGTCGAGATCATGCGAGTAAAACATTTCACTTGTGATTCACCAAAGAAACGTTTCATTCGTCAGTCAAGGCGGAGTTGTGAGCTGTTAGTATACGTTTGTAGCTAGCTTGGTCACTGGGGATTTTCCGGCTTATATTTGAATCGGATTCTTCTCTGGGAGTACAGCTCATTACGAATGAGCTGAAATACTAGTTGTGCCCTTTTCATTGTGGAGGTGCTGGGCGGTGGCTCCGGTGGTTTTGGGCTTGCAAACTGACACGGAGCTCTTCTACTGAATCTTTTCCTAACAACCAATGAATCAAAAAGTAGAACAATGAGGAAGCAATTCAAACATATGATATCCTTCTTCTCTTAAAATATTTTATAGGTTGCTGCTTGTGACTGAAATCTGAATGCGAACGTGACAGGGCGAGTATGTATAACTAGGGGGTTGTACGCATCAATTTTTTTTAATTATTAATTTTGTTTTTGTTAAGATAAGCTTGAATACACAGAGACGGGTAATAGGTGTATTCCGTGATGAGCGACTGCAAACCTCAAAAAATATCAGCTCATTCTCGAAGAGATAGAACCCAGCTCACCGCGTACTCCTGGGCTGGGCTCTAAATCAGTCACCAAAGAATCGCACTTCCCTATGCCCTAAACCATATATGTTATTGGATTAGAATCTTATTTATAACGAATATATGTTATTGGACCCGCTAGATTAACTAGTGGGTCACCAAATCAATATTTTTGCATGAGAAAGATGTTGCTTTATTTTTAAAGAAATAACATTTTTAAATTTGATTTTATGAAGTTTAATTAGACTATTTAAGTTGGAGGTCAACCCATCAAATTATTTATTTAAATTAATTTCAAATTATTTTGTTCTATTAAATTTCATTTCCAAGGTTTAAAGCCTATCCAGCCACAAATGTATAATTGTTTTTAGTATTAAGAATGTAATAAATATCATGTTTTAAATTATTTTTAAAAAAATATATTAAAATAATTTTAAAATACTAAAATAGATTAATTTGTAGTAATTTTTTTAAAAAAATAACAAAAAACTATTCAACACAATGCTAGATGAGCTTCCATGCCAAAAACTATACTAAGACTTACAACACATAATTTACCCTTATTTCCCAAACAAAAAGATTAGGTTCGTGCATGTGATTTTAAGTGTGTTTGGTTATATTGTTGCTTCTAGTTTGAAGCAACCATAGCAATTCAATCATTTGATAATATTCTAATAACATATTTATATTAGTAGGGTCTACTATTAATTGTGACATGGCCACAAGTTTGCAAGAAACAGCAATTTGCTGCTTCTTGAGCTAGAAAACCCATAAATAGTAGAATATGAAAACTCATGAACAGTGGAGCATGCTACACTGTTTCAACCGGATTGATTCAGCTCAACACTAAAAATACATTCTTGAGCTAGAAAACCCATAAATAGTAAAGCATGAAAACTCATGAATAGTGGAGCATGCTATACTGTTTCGACCGGATTGATTCAGCTCAACACTAAAAAATATATTGAATTGGGTTTGATCTAATAAAATAAAAAAAAATATTTTTTATTTTTAATTGTATTTTATTCAAAAAAACTAGTATTAAATATTATTCAATGACACTACATAAATTAGATGGAGATCTCTTGATGACGTAATATTTGTAAAATTTGATCGCAATTCTAATTTTATTCCTGATTATATTTTACCTATGTTGTTGTGCTTTTAAAAAATTTAATGGAATAATAAAAAATATTTTATATAAAGCATTATTTATTTTATGATATAATAGTAACAGTTAAATCTAGAATATTTAAATTAAAAACCATCTATATTAATATATATTTTTTAAAATTATTTTATAATCTCAATTTCAAAAGCATTATTAATTAAACATATTAAACTACTTTTTCTTCAACCTCAATTTTAACCACAGTTTTAACCAAA